GAGAGAGAGAGAGAGAGAGAGAGAGAGAGAGAGAGAGAGAGAGAGAGAGAGGCTCTAATAGAAAAAGATAGCGGAAAAAAACACGAAAATAAAACCCAGATAAAAATCGGCAATGGAGGTGAGCAAGGTTACATTGAAAAGGATACAAGAGATAGCGAAGGCCAAGGTCACAGAGAATACAATCATGATGTTATTATTATCAGCTGATCGTCTTTCATCGAGCGCGGGAGGAGAAGAGAAGACAAAAGAAGAGAAGAGAAGAGGTGAGAAGAGGAGAGGGATAGAGTCGAGCGAGTCCTCCCTTCGCCCCCTTTCTCTCTTCACTCCGCGCACCCCCTCTCGTCCTAGCCTAGGCTATGCGCCGATCTCGTCACTCCTCCAAAGTAGGGCTGGGCAATGGGTTGCTTTAGCAAAATCCGGATTCGATATTAGTGCACCTCTTCGACAAATAAAATGATCATGAACCGCTTCGACAAACGGGTTAGCACTACTTCAACAAATAGATGCACCCATTTCGGCAAACGGGTCATGAAGAAAGAGAGTTAAGAGTCAGAATTCGAATGTTTCCATGAGAATTATCCGGTTATCCTTGTTGAATATCCGGATTTTGCCCATCTCTATTCCGAAGCTCAGTCAGTCCATCGCCCCGCACGGAAAGAACAGCAAGATATGCAATACACTTTGACAACACCGCGTCGCGCTGAGTTGTGGTGTGAGTCGAGAGGAAAGTTTATCGAGGTCGCACGCTCGCACCTTCCTTCCTTTATTTCTTTATTTTGACGGCGTTCATCAATAAGTTTTGTGCAAAGTGTGAATAGATCTTAAGGGCATCCCCCTGGCCCAAGCTCTCCGGCTGGCGACAGAGAGACGTCTTTTTTTCCCCCTCGACACCTATAAGGGTATATAGATATATATAAGCGGCGGATAAAAGTAAAGTAAGCGAAGGGAGAGATAGATTCGTATTTCACTCACTCACACCTCTGTGTTTCGGTCAAAAGGACTTGAGTTTCGCTTGGAGAATCCAGAATCTAATTCGCCATACATCAACATCTCAACATCTTTGGACCTCTTTTTGTTTTGCAAAAGCTTGGTTTACGTGATTCTCTGTGAAAGGAGTTGTGTACAAATTCATATTCTGGAGTCGTCCTTTATTTATTTTCTCAAAGTTGTGGTGAGTCGTCGGTTGTCGAGAGTTATTATTCCTTGTGTTGATGAACTTGTAAAAAATCGTATTTTTGTTCTTGTTGTTAATTGTGAGGTATGCTGACAAAATGAGATACTTCTCGGATTTTAACAGTTTGGAAATTGGTCCCTCAACTTTGTCGTTGGAGTTTACATAATAATTGTAAGTATAGAATACTAAAAGGCACGGTAGTTTAGACTTGAACAAAGTATCATCAAATGAAAATCAATAAATCTGACCCCAGTGTTCATTTTGGACAATAATATCTCAAATCTTGGA